GTTAAACGTAATATCGATTCGAGCCTCTCTACCGACGATCAAATAATGAAAATCACTTTGCGCGGTGTACGTTCGACCGATTGTCATACACCACTCGTGCCAATTCCACTTTCGACTAAATTCCACGCGATTACCGTTATAATTAACGTTAAAATTTCCGAAAATATCGATAACTCGTCGTTGCTATCCCGGAAAGGTGGTCAAAGGAAGGAAAGAAAAAAGGACGAAGAAAGAGCAATTCCGTTTTTATCGAATTTCAGAGACAGGATTAAAGCGAGATAACGGCGAGATAGGAAAACGACGGGGGGGCGCGAGGGGTTGAATTAGTCGCGGTGAAATTCAACGGGTGACGGGTTCGCAGATAAGGGGTTCCCTGTCGGGCATACAGCCGGTCATAATATGCGAAATAGGGCAAGTACGCCTGGATAAACTGATTATCTGCACACACGGTCCGCCATCTTTTATCAGTGCACCTCGAAAAACGTACCAGAGCGGAATTTCGAGCAACCGGACGAAAGTCCATTAAAATCTGAAACTTTAAGGCTGCAATCTAGCAACCGAGCGAAAAGTTTCACCCGTTCCCGAAATGTTTAATTAACAATTAGTGCGACGCTTATCGATCTGTATTTTTAGAACGCTAGCGCTGATTAGGGTGAAATGTTGCACGATTAACCGGAGACCCATGTGGAAGATAGGATTATCTCGACAGTCGCATTTATGGCGAGAACGTACGAGCAAGTTAACAACTGTATAACGACATTTTCAAGTTACCAAACAGCGGCTAACAGGATTCGCGAAAATTTGCCGCTGCCACCGTGCTCCCGGGTAGACATTGTCTAAAATTTTCCTCGATATTTGAAATAATAAAGAAAGAGATCTATTTGGAAAGTGGAAAAGCAATTTCCCGTGGAAGAAGGAGAAGCAGTCTGTTACAACTCGACTCATAAATCTCGCAGATGCGTGAAAGCACAATTGAAATTTTATCGAGCTTCCCTGTCTAGAAGTGCGTTCGCGGATCGATCGAATACCTTTGATCGAGAGAAGATGTAACAAAAGTGATTCCCTTCCTTCTACATTGCCGCGATAAAAGTCGCATTTCACCCGGGGACCTTTATTTATCAGGATGCAGTCTTTTCTCGGCGGGAAAAGCGAGAATATCGCGCGATAGGAGCTTTCCCTCGCGTTCGAATAACACGCTATTTATCATCGTCCAACGTGAAAACACAGGCTGCGTACCGGTAGAATTACAAGGTGGTCGATGCGGAAAGTAGATCTACCGTGGCAATAACAGGGGACAAATTTTCCAGGGGATTTCTGACTGTCTCGGCGAATATAAAGGGCCAGAGTGTCAAGAAATGTGCATCGACTACACGTCAGTGGTTCTCACTTCTTTTAGAGAGGTGCAACAGGTTCGACGCATTCCTCTTTCTCTCTCTCCTCTTTGCTTCTCCCCGTTTCGCTAAATACTAGATTTCATTTCAAATCAAGAGCAGATCTTATATCTCATCGCGATACTTTTGTTCGTTTCCTTTTCATTTGTTCCATGATGAAAGTAAAACACGCGGGCGATCAGAGGTCGAGAGAAACGAAGAATTCTCATTATGTTACAAGCTTGACACGTTCAGCTGAAAGAGCACGTAAATTTTTATCTCCCAGTTGAAGAATAATACCCCGGGGGCGGAAACTACCACGTGGGAAGACAGTTTAGTCTTATTTCGTGAAAAAAATTGGAAACGAAGGGAAATTCTCCTTCGTCCTATATTTTTTTTCAACTTGGCATCCGCTTGACCTTTCCCCGCAGCAATACCGCAGATACGGTGACCAAGTATTTCGATGAGAATGCCTCCCTCTAATCCGACCGCAATTTCTGTCATTTCACCGCGATATTTCAGGTAGGAAGATTGGAAAGGGAGTTCCGTTGAAATTCCCAGCTTTCTTTTCTCTCTGCCGCGAACACCGGGTATTTCGATGAGAATGCCTCCCTCTAATCCGACCGCAATTTCTGTCATTTCACCGCGATATTTCGCGTAGGAAGATTGGAAAGGGAGTTCCGTTGAATTTCCCAGCTTTCTTTTCTCTCTGCCGCGAACACCGGGCGAAAAAATTAAGAAACTCGAGGAGGACGCCGTCTCTGGGCAAGACCGACGTTTCTTCCACTTTTTTTTCTCTTTTTCCTCGCGGACTTTCGCGTCAGTTCGGATACGACGTTCTCAACCCCGAAGCGGCGTTAATTTTCGGCGGAGAAAACTTCCGCCAAGTATCCGGCAGGGGTCACTAGTCAGTTTCTCGTAAGATTCGTTAGCAACGATATCGACAGTATCCGACAGCTCTTAATCTCGATTTACCCTCCTCCGGTTTATCGTTTAATCGAACAGAAAGGAGGTAAAAACCTCCCGTACCTTTGTGCCGATCGATCGTCTTTCTTCGTCTTATTTTTAATTCTGCCGACGGCATTTTTAGACCAACGAAATACCGACTTTCGACCAGGAAACAGAGGTATCTATAGGTTCTTGGTTGTTCGCGTAAAATTAGCAAAGTTGGAGAGTCGCGTAGCTGGAATCTTCGTTATAAAAAAAGCTGTCTTAAAAAAAGATTCATTAACGCGCCTGTGTCACACGTGACCTGAAACGCGTTCACCCTCGGCCATCTCGCTCAATTTCGTCGCCCCTTTCGTTTCTTAATTACACACACACACACACACACACACACACACACACACGGTGTCCTTGCCTGCGGATTTTAAGATTACGGATTAGGACGTGTGAAGTATTTGATCGATGGTTCGAACGAATGAAATGAAAAAAGAGAGATCGATGGGGGACACACTCCAAGTATCGAATAACTTTCGTAAAATTACCCCCACGGTTCGTGAACGAATTCCTCGCTGAAACGTCCATCTCTTAAGAGCAAATACATGTCGATACAGGAGAAATACGTTTCCATATTTATTCATAGCGTGACAAGCGGTCGACGCTGATTCACAATTTCACAGACTCAAACACACGCGCAAAAGCGTACACACGTTCGACCACGATAGCGTGGGCAAAAAAATTACCCTGCCAACTCCCCCTCCATGCTCGTACAAATGTTTATCGCTCGCTGTTTCTCTTCCATTCTCGCCGAATCTCAAATTGTTCGGGCGAGACGCACGCAACTAACAATAAGTATACATACTAAGTATCGAGCCTTAAACTTACAAGGGGAACTGCGACCTTTCGGTAAATCACAAAGGAGAAGGACAAAGCAACGTAAATTCCACGACACAAGAAGCGTACTAACGTTCAGCTCGTTCTATTTCACTTCTGCGCAATTCAATTAGGGATAGTGTGTATAAGAGGAGAAACGTTGTCTCTCCCTCTGCTATCAGCTTCCTTTTCTCGGACGTTGCTCGGTGAAACGATGATGTATGGTTGAGAAAAAGGTCAATTAGAGATCGAAGCACGAGCTTTGTGTACTCGTCGCTGCACCAACGACACACTGGTACACGTATTTTACACGGATTTGTCGGAACAAACGAACGCGAAGACGTTGACAATCCGGCAGTTAACGATCGACTGGCATCGCCAGGAACGCGTTCGACGAGCAAAAATCCACGAAGGTCGAGGCTTGTCTCGTCTGTATTCAATGTTGTAAACAGAGGAATCTAACAGTTGTCAACATTCGCGTCCTCGCGTTTCTCGCAGCTCGAACGGAAACACGTACACATCGATACGAACGTCGATAAGGACGAAGATTGTCTTTCATCGTAGGTTCCCTCTGTGATTCCCTTTCGAACGATAAATCCGATAGTTGATCGGAGAAATAGATTACCGAATGGCAGGTGGGAATGTTGGGTAGCAAAGTTAATTATACGTACACGTAAAGTGGAGCAAATGTATGCAAAGGTGCCGTTCGAGCTTTGTGATTCCCATGCGTGAAACAATTTTCGTAAAATGAATATCGCGATTCGGTATGCGCGACGATAACAAATGAAATTCAAATAAATTAACGGCAATAGTAGGAAACTCGATAATTTGGGCTCGCGTTGTGTTTACTGAAAAGGGAGCGCGATCGAGCCACGCTTACGCCTGCGGGGGGTTGTTTGTACGCCGCACACTTCGATGTATCGGAAGCGAACGGGAAGGGGAAGAAGAATCAAACGAAGCCAGTTAACGAACCCCCTGTGTGTAACTGTACGTGATCCTCCGCGAATAATAGCCTTCGAATAATTCACGAGGCAAGTTCGCCTTAAAATCTCCTTAATTCCTCCACCTGTTCACCGCGGCTAGAGAAACGAAATCTTTCGAATAAGACGGAGTTGTCTGGTCTCTTCCGGTTAACAGCTTAATATTCCGCGAGTTAATTAAATCCAGGGGGATTAAACGCGACACGATTATACATCAATCTGCGGCGTTAGTTTGCTTGTCGGTAGGTAAAACGAACAACAGCGATCGTTGTTCTGAAAATGACAAAATGTAGCAGCTACCGGAGCAGCACCGTCAATCGATACCACGAGGTCCGCGGTGCAAACTCTCGGAGAATCGGTTCGTAATAAGTAATTGAACCACTCCATATACCGAGACGCTTTTTCTTTTTAATCGCGGCGAAAACGGAAGAGCAACGTCAGACGTCACGAAGCGGGTGAGTTTTCCCCTCGCGTGCAAGAGGGGAGAAAATGCAAAATTCCTCGTTAGTGTCCGCCGACGAAGAAGCAGCATCAAAAGTAACGAGCACCGGCTGCTCGGAATAAATAAGCTAAGAGAGTAATCTAAATTGCGGGAGAATGGGAATCGTTGTCGAACACGCGGTTGCCCGATTCGCCTGGTTCTTTTTTCGAGGCAACAGGGCTAACAGAGGGTAGAGAATCGGGCAAAGAAAAGAGGGTGGTGGATGCTGACAGGGGGAGAGAGAGAGAGAGAGAGAGAGAGGAGAGGGTTGGAGGGGACTAGGTGGAGGGAACTCGGGGAGGGGTGAGAGGAGGCTGTGCTCGGGGTGCGGAAGAGTCAGTGCGCGGCGAGGCGCGCCAGCTGCCGCACGTCATGATTCTACCCCAGGTGAGCTACGAAGTTACCCAGAAACATCACAGCACGCTCTCGACTACAAACCGGGACCGCCGAAAATTCGTGACTATATATATATTACATATATATATACATACATCTAGACGTACAATATTCCTAAATGATTAATCGTGTCTGTCTCTCTTTCTCTCGCAGTCACCCCCCTCGTGCATGACAAGGAACAGTGCTCGATTAAGCACTTTCTTCACGTTGCTCGACCTTACTTTTTCAATTATTACCCAACTCATCATAGCACGATATACATATATATATATATATATGTACATAGATGAAAAGCATGATTAACTAATTACCTCTCGTTTTCGTTGTTTCTCGTGTCTTTTACTATCTCAGTGTTTTTATGCTCCCTCGTAACCGTACGTAACCCTTTCATGCTCTCTCTATCTCTCGACGAACGGCGATTAACGAGACACTCGAGCATCCGTCGGAAAGGAGTATCATGAACGCACGATCGAGTGAAATAACCAAGGATCACCCCGGAGAGGCTCTGGCTGACGCGCGTCGATTCTCCGTTGCTCTTCTCGCGTCTTCTTCGAGTGCCGTGTGTATAAGAGATAAAACTTTCGTCTATCTCTCGTAGTGCTGATGGTGACACGAAGCTGTTGTTGTTTTCTCAGTGACATACTACTACTATCGCTACTCTCGTCCGATTGAACATTTTTTTTCTTTGTTTTTTTTTTTTTAACGACTCCGTTGCCTTCTCTTTTACGAGGAGCCCGTGTACACGGGGACGGGGAATGTTGCGACAACGCGCACCCCATTGGCTTCCGCCGGAGGAACGCGTAAAGTGATTTTACACCGTGCAAACAAACTTTATTTCTCGATTCACTTACGACGGACGCTTTGTTTGCCCGCGTAATTGATAGTCTCGTCGATCGTGAATTAATCTTTTCCAGGCCGGCGAAGCGTGACACGGATCTCCCGCCGGCGAAAATTTCAATTTTCGCAAGTGAAGATTAAGCTTTATGCATATTCAAGCCTCTACCCCGTATATATACCCTGCTTCTTATCCACGATACTTTGATCCTCCACCGACTAACCCTTTGACAGTGTCTTCATTGTCTCTCTTATTCGCGCCTTTTGAAACAAACACTCCCCTCGATCGATCGATTTTCACCAACTTTTCCACCTTAATTCCACGGTGATATTTAACAAACGTTAAACAGGCTCGCAACAGGTTCTCGATCGTTATTCTCTTAATTACGCTAATTTATTCCCCCGACCTATTCGTTCCATTACCATTTTCACTCTAGTGATCGTTTCCTCTTCACGTTTTTCTATATACATATATGTATTTTTGCAATTTCTTCGAGGGTGGCAATCTTATCGAGATTTCCACAATTCGCGTCGATTCGAAAAGGCGGCAGCCATCAAGTCGTCTGATATATTAAAGGTGCCTTGACAGCAAGCAACGTGCGAGGAAGAAGGGCTGTGCACGGAAAATGAATGCCATCTCGGCGGCGGGAACTCAATTTCGCAGCGAGGCGATGAAAAGGGAAGTGTTATGAAAGGCGAAGCCTGTGCTGTGCGAGAAGCGCGGAGACTTTGAAAAATCGTGACTGGAGTCCGACGAATCAGTCTGCCGGAAGAGTGAAGGAAAAGAAACGTTTAAAGAAGCGGTCCTCCGCGAAGTTTCATCGTCCACGAGGCATTTCCATTTCCAGCCGATTCACTCGAGTAGGGATGCACAAATCTTATCGAGTTTTTCGCCTCGCGGTAAGTAACACGGCCACTTCGATCTGCAAACTTTCACGGAGCTGCCGGATATTGTTTCGCGATTGGATCGAGATCGAGGAAAGTTTGTTCGCTCTAGAGTGCTCCTTGATGGATACTTGGACCAACCACCGATGTATATTCCCATCTGGCTAACTTCTACAACGTTGTTCCAAGCTTTCAAGATTTTTACGAGTGTTGTGCTTCTTCGAGCTATCTTTCGATAGTTGTTTAGTGAAAGATTTCACGAGAATTTCATTCTACCCGAAGGATTTTCATCGACTAACCGTGTTATCGACGTCGGGCTTTCGAGCGACGTTTCAGAAGAGGAGGAAGAAAAATGTCATATTCCAATGGAAGATTGAAAGAGGAGAAAATCGCAGGCTGACCTCGTCGATATAAATCTGATTTACCCGACCTATTCGATTTCGAAGAAGCTACGGGAACGCTATAAAGTACAGAGGGAGATTCCGCTTCGTCAGAATGGAAATATTTTCGAGGATCTAACGATGGCTGAGCTTCCAAGCCTTCCAAGAGGGTGAAGTGTTATTCCTGGCCCGATTATTTCTCGCCACCTCGCCTCTTCCAAATTGAACCCTGGGATCACCGGAATCGACGAAAATTTCATTCGAATACTATTTTTTCAACGATATCTCTCGTCGAACTTTCACTTAAATATCTCTCGAGCTGTTCGAAATCGAAAGATTTCTAGAACGATATAGAAATTCTGTTAAAGGGAAGAGAAGAGTTTTACGGAAAACCGTGCTCGATATAAAAGAAGCGAGATATCGATGGATCCGACCCTCGAAGAATAGAAAAATCCGGATGAAAAAGAGAATTCAAGGTGGATCGGAATGAAAATCGAGCCGCAGTCCGTCGTAGTACGAACCTTTCGATCATCGACGAAGAATCCAACTATCGATCGTGAATCAGCCGATTTAGACACGCGAATACACGAGTGAAAGAATTCTGGAGAGTGAAAAGCAACATTTCCCTATCTAATTCCGATCGAAACAATTTGGAGGAAAGCCGTAGAGGGCTATAAAGCTAACCGAGCAAACTCCACTTTCTTAAAACCGGATCCTCTATTTTTCGAGGGTTCGAATACCACCCTTATCCCGGAACAGGAAACAATCTCTTTGTAATAATTACAAAGCACCTCCTCGATATATTTTTATGGAGCATGCTGACTTGGGAAGAAGGGCCTACCCTACGCACCCCAATAACCATTGCCTTCCCCGAACCTTCGCATTTCGTCTTCGATTTATTCGGAGCCGACAGCAACGTTAAGTAGAATTCGAAAATTGCAAAGTGTCCATAAACGGAGATAATGGAGGACGAGATCGATGGCCTTGAGTTTCTTCCCATCGGAGAGGATTTGCCATTTCGGTAACGACCTGTAAGTCCAATTATCTCGTATAATCTGATAGTTTATCTGTCTGGGCAGGGATTGCACGCAAACTACTTCCGGTTAGAGGAGCAGCAGAGAGCTTTCTGAGGTCTATGCCTGTTGCACGTTAAGGCCGTGATTTAGCTGTCGATTAGCCACGATGATGGATCGAGATTTTCCAACAAAATTTCTCGATAAGCCTTCTTAATTACAGCCTTATCACCTTGTTGAGAAAATCTTCGCGTAATAACTTGAGCGACAAGTAGAACGATACACGTTATACTCTGCTCTATCTCTCTTTCTCGCTTCGTCGCCGTCTCATACACATTTCCATTCGTATCTTCGCGGGGACCTCGCTGTTTAGGCTAGATCTAGGTTAAATCTAGGTTAGGTTCGAGTTAGCTTTGCATCGGGACTCCATTCTTCCTTCCCACGCTGCTTAATAAAGCACACATCTCTCGCCACGTCTATTTACCTTCGTGCATTCGACACTGGAACGTCAATTTTTAAGAGAATCTTCACGAACACTCTCTGACAAATAGTTGATACCTATTTAGGAGAGTTAATAAGCAATCTACGTTAGCTAGATCGATGTCGGATTACCCGAGTGTACACCTAGTCTTAAGACCGACAAACTCTTGCTCGGATGTATAAGCCGAGTAAGGCTTCCGGTATTGAATCGCCACAGTGGATAATCCTAATTAACTCGTATGGCTCCCCGAAAACTTTTCGATCGACCACGTGATAATACGTTTCTTTATCATATACGCAAGTTACGTGACGATCTTTTGACGGTACGGAGCAAACAGTCGAGGATACCTCGCACCGAGAGAAATAAAGAGAAGTCAGTTTTAACTTGGATGATTTCCTTATTATACGGCGGCCGTTCGATAAATTCGCTACAACAATTTAACGAATAAACGTTGGAACGAATTTCTTCTCTACACCGTTCGTTATCGTCCCGATATCGAACGTGTGTATCTCCAGCAAACGACTCTCAAATTACGCATTCAACGATATTAATTATAGCAACGAACGATTCTAAAATTTCATTTCGCCTCGTACTTCCATCCCGCTACCGTCTCTCCTTTATCTACTAATTAAAAATTCACCTAATCCTCGTTCAATGTACACTCCATGCACGAATTCCGAGATTTCGCGGAAGTTTATCGATCAAGACTCGATAAACTACTCTTACGAGTCGAAGCTTTATGTGTTGCACCGAATGCTGCATGATAATTTTCAAGATCCTCGCGGCACACACGTATACCTAATTAAACCGTACAGATGTCGAGTAATTTGTAAGCAACGAAATGATAAAACTGGCATCCAAGGATGGTAATAATTTGTTCGATTTAACGTTATCCAATGAAATTTTCAATTACAATTGACGACCCGATATCGATAGCTCCGTTTAACTTCGACGACCTCTACATATGCGAAATTCTGTAACAGTGATCAGATCGATGGATCTTCGATCGGTGGCGAGAGCACTAAGTTCGAGATAGCCATTGAACCCTCGAACTAAAGCCCACTGTTACACACCGTTCTGTGCGCTCTAATATCAAGTACAAGCCCGTCATGTTCGATCGAACGTACGCCTCGATCATTGATACTATTGAGAACTCCGTCAATCGAGGACCCTCGGCAGATTCTCTTTGTCAGCCTTTGTGTCCTGACCGTCGTTCTCTGACCGAGAATCTTTTTGACACCGTGTTTGATCACCAACCACAAATGATTACTACAAAAGTACGACTATTTCTCGAAATATCTACTTGTTCGTTCGTCAACGGGGGGTGAAATTTTAGATATATTCTTCGTAACGAAGAACAACGACAAAATCAACTGATTGATCAACGGTATTATCCTA